AAAATAGAAATTTAAAGCTTAAATATCATATATTTATACATAATTTTACCTTTAAACTTATTTTTTCTCTAATTCTCTTATATTTCCTTTATCTTTCCCTTTTTTCTCTTCTTTTTCTTCCCCTTTTCTTCTCTTCTCCTATTAGTTTTTCATCTTAATTTCTGATCTCTTTTTTTTATTATTTATACTTATTATGTTTATTAAATTATAGCAATACTCCTCATTCATTTATACCCACTCTTTAAGTTTTCAAGGGTTTTGTTGTCTTTTCTTATCTCTTTAATTCAAAACATTACATTAGTAATACTCAAGATTTACAACTTACCACTAGGAATATGTATGAGGCTAGAGTTCATGCTTTTTTTTTTTTTTATCTACGATCATACTCAATTCTAAGAGTCCAGGTTGAAATATAGATGTTTGTTTTCATTTGTTAATTGATGAGTTGAAGTAGTTATGGTCATCCAAGGCTTTCACATATGATATATCAAGAAAATAAAATTTTCAAATAAAAGTAGTTTTGCAGTGAACCATTAATGATTTTTCCATGTATGAAATAGTTTATGGTTAGAGCATGCAAGGAAAACTAGCATATCCATATTGTATGAAAAATAATAAGACCTTCATGTTAATAATTGATGATAAAATGTTTTTTTTTTTATTGTCATGGGCAGTTCTTGCCAACAGATTACAATTAAAAAAATAATATAAAAGACTTCTTTGTTGGTAGATTTGAAAGAGATGTTGCATTACCATTCCCATCGGGTGAAAAATTGTATGGTATAGTGTTGAAGGACGATGATATTCTTTTGATTTTTAATTTGGTAAGCAAAATTTTTCTAGTTTTGGTTTGACTAACAATTGGGTAAAACAAAGTATTTTGTGAAAGTTTATTGAAAAACCAATCCCTCCATCATAACCTTTTTTTAATGAATTAGAATGGTCCATTGATAAATTTAATTGTGGTAGACTGTGAAAAATAAAACCAAATAAAGGTTTTTTCTTTTCTATTTTTTTATAAAAAATTGATTTGAAACTTATTACAAATTACAAGATAAACATAAAGAGGACAAAGCAGGTTTTGGCCTTTTCGTCCAGGGTCTATGGTCTATTACTCTTGAACATGTCCCAAGCATGCTAACCTTTGTTGGCCAAGAAAAAGAATTTGAAACAAAAATTAAAAAACTATTCCTCTTAAAGGAATGCTTGTTGGGACACATTAGTAAAGGTAACAAAAATAACCTGGAGTTAAATAAGATACAAAACTAGGAACAAAACTAATTAAAGATTGCCCACTTTTGCTATAAATTACAATTTGAATTGATATTTGGGCCACATGAATGCCTGGCAATGGCATGAAGCCAGATCTTCAATGTTTTGAGCATAATTGTGATATTTTTTTAATACTATAACATTTAATTCTTTAGTATATTTCTATTCAATATACTAGGTAATGGCATGAAACATCATTAAAACTTATTCTGTGTGAAAACTGTAAAGTTTGTGAGAGAAATGTGTGCTTGATTGAAATAATGATAATCTTATAGGAATACTTTAGTACTTAATGGTCGGTCAAATTGGCAAGAATGTTGCTTAGTTGGAATGGCAATTTATATGGGAATACATCAGGAAATTCTCTCACTATTGAAACATCTGACAGTTAAACTTCTTCCCTTTTTATCTCTATGATATATACAAGGTAAGCTTCACACCCTTTCTTTACCATCTTTCTTATAGTCATAGCCGAGATGATATAATTTGTGATGACCTTTTTTTTTTCAAACACAATTTTCCTACCATCAGGTCTATAAAGAGTTATGATTTTTGCAAAATAGTCTATTTAAACCTTATTCATACTTAATCAGTCTATAACCAAGATAAAGTCAAATTCATGTAACTTTAATGGCAATAGATCTAATCCATAACCCAGATAACATCAAAGTCATGTAACTCTAGTGGTAATAGATCTACTTTTAATTCACACCTATTTATAACAAGTTGAACCCTTTTATACATGTTATCAATATTGACGATCTCACATAATTGAGTACTTATAATAAACTCATTATCCTTTTTACAAGGATTTTTCTCCAATTTTCCCATAAGCTTAATAACAATAAATAAGTGTATGGTTTATGGTGAAACAATACATGAACATATAAAAAAATTAACTATAATGTACTTAACACTATGTTAAAAGCAGCTTTAGTATCTTTTTGTGTCATGTAATATACTTTTCCCTAAGTTTGGGTCTCCTGTGTCTTATCACTTTGAACATGGATTCTGCCTCTACTATCACTAGCCTCAAATAACATCTGTCAAACTAGTTTGTCTATAGTGGCAGATTGTTGCTGACTCTAAGCTTGTTGTTGATAATTTTGAGTAATCTCAGTCTTGTGGGAATAATTCCTCCAAAAACATCCTTAATCACAGCAATAATAACATCCATGACCTAAACATGGACAATCCCGCCATCTATGCTCTCTTTGTAGGTATAACACCATTTAGGCATTACAAAATAGTCTCCTGAGTGTTTTTGTCCATAATAGGTACACAAAGAACAAGCAATCATTCTCTAATTGATGCTCCTTCAAAAAAACCACCTTTAGGGTTTGATTGCCTTCTTATTGACCCTGCTTCTGAAGTCTAAGTAGATGCAGTTGAGAAATGCCTTTTTTTTAAAAAAAAAACTTAAATGTCCCTTACCTCTTTTAGAATAAAAAAAAGGGGTTTACTAGAGGTATACTCTACATCCTTCTGCATACCCAAACTATATTGTACTTGGTAGCTCTCTTATAAACATTCCTCAAGGGCCTTTACTACCTCAATAAGCTCTCTAGTATTCTTGAACTTGAAGGCAATTAGTCATTGCCTTTAACTTTACCATAGTCCATCTCGCAGCCTTTTAACCCTGTGTTGTTCGCAAGGAGTATAATGTGAGGCAAACATAGAGATGTTATAGAACCTCCTCTTATAATTGAGCACTAATATGACTCTTTATCTTAAAGCTAAAAACTCTTGTTTAATTTTTTGATGATAGGAGGAGTAAAAATAATGCTTAAACTTTACTCTAAACTTTGTCCATGACCAGGACCTTGTAGGTCTCCTTAACCTTACTGTATCCCACCAAGATTACATGTTGTCTGAAAGCAAATGGATAACACAATTTACTCATAAGCCCTCTCCTACCTATATCTGATTTAGGATATCCTTAATTGTTCGAAGCCATTTGCTTGCTATCTTGACGTTTGGTTCACCCCAAAAAGGTTTACACCCTAATTCTCTCATACTCTTTACAATTTGTATTAATGTAACCACACTATCAATTGGGACTGTAACCACAAGTATCGTCTGTATTGTTAATGCTATTGGAGTTGTTGAGGTTAAGACATTAAACATCCCCTCAATCGTTGCCATTACTGTTTGAGTTATGAGTTTTGCATTGGCATGTAATGTAGGTGTTGCTGCATGCATTGGTGTTACAACTGGGGGTGCATCTCTTTATCTTTGTTGGTTTGTTCCCTAGGTTGTGATCCCATAGCCTGCCTCAAATTGATATCATCATAGAGTCCCACTTACTCCTCTAATTTTGACTTATGAGATATCAAAGACATTCTCCTATTGTTGTATTATTTCTCATGTATATCCTAATTGTAATTAGCAATTTATTAAACTTTTATTCAATTTCCTTAACCCAAAACTAGGCTATAATACCAATTGACATATACATACATACATACATACATACATACATATATATATATATATATATATATATTTCACTCGGTGCAAATATCTTTTTAATACCAAGTTATCGATTAAAAAATCACAAACTATAAATAATAACCACAAATCTCATCTCATTATATTTGACTTCATAACTCAACTAGAACATCAATTTCCACAACTTTTTTTTAAACTAATAAATATTTTTTAGAAAAATTTAAAAGTAATTAATTCATAATAAACATTAATTTCTTAGGATATAAACATATTTAATTAGACATACAATAAAACTACAATATAAACATATTTAATTGGACATACCATAAACTATATTATTGATTTAATAAGAATGATATTCTTAAGAGATAATTTAAACATTTAAATTTCTTAATACATAAGTGATATAGTAATAAAATATTAACACTTCTAAAAACAAAATTTAATTTAAATAATTTTTTTATTTATATATCCACTTTCCAGCTCGAACGTCCAAGTTACCTAGCAATATATTTATATAACATGTAAATACCGTTAAAAATTAAAAATGTACACTTTACAATAAACTAATAAAATAAAGATCATTTAAAATATACATAATAATATATTTATTTGCTTATTAGATGAAGTATTTATCATTAATATATTAATTTGATTTATGTATTATTTAGCCAATTTTTATATAACTGAAATTCATTAATTAGTATGTTATTTTTATATAAAAAATCCTTCTAATCACCTTTTTAATATTATATTATTTTTTATTAACTAGAAACTAATTTTTTAACGTGTCCAAAGTATTATTTTTATTAACTGGAAAATAATCTTTCATCTAGGATATTCCATCAACGTTGAAGTCGATGTTCAGAAGGGAATGTGCCAGCAGTCAATGATCGAAGTTTGCATGGATTGTCACTGAAAAGAAGAAACGAAAGGAAACAACGCAGCCTCCACAGTGGGCAGCCTGAAACAGTTTGGTGGGGACGAAAACATAGAGGATAAAAAAAAAGAAAAAAACAGCTTCGAGCAGTGTATAAAAAGTGAAACGACTGGAGAAACAATCAAATAGTAAACAACGCATATGCATCACACAAAGAAGATTGGCAGGTTAGGATAGGGAGAAATCAGACGTAAAAGGCAGGCATCCAAGTAAGGCAACTTTGAAGTTATCCCTGTAGCAATGCAGGTTTGTTCTTATTAAGAAAATAAAGTAATTCACGCCATCCATGTCATCTTGTTCGAGTAGCGGACGAAAAATGTTATCAGAATAAAAAACATAAAGACAAAACACGTGAAGAATGCAATGGAAGCGCATCTCAGCTAATGACCAAACAGTTAGCACTGGTAGTTTAAGCAAAGGAAAGAAAACAAATAATCAAGCAAGCAGGAATGTTGCGCAGTTGCGGCGTGAAAATAGACATCAAAGAAAGTCGCCTATCATGGGGATTGCACGCATCTTCTATACAGCAGAGGGTGGGGGGCAATATGGCTCGATGACTTAGGCTTGTCATTTAAGTGTGCTGCAGTAGGTGCGATGTCTTCCAGCTCTGACTACACCCTGTCACATGGAAGGAGTAAAAGGTCAGGATAAAAAATGATGTTGGGTTTTCTCCATTTTTTCTCTCTTAATTGATGTAATTGAATGACCCTTGGGTTTAAGGAAAAAGGGAAGATAAGCATAAGAAATTTAAGGGGAAGAAATACAATGGGCTGTAACGGAGACGCATATTTTTTTCATTCATTAGAGCATGCATGGTCAGGTAAGGAGAATGTTAAAAAGCAAGCAAATGCCCAAAAATCTGGAAAAGAATTTCAACGGCAGTTATGGGAAGAATGTCCTAAACCTGTGTTGCGTTGGCTCAGCCTGGAAATGAAGCCTTCTTCTTGTTCCAGTGAGGCTGGGTCCCTCGAGATCCTACTGAAAATCTGAGCTTGTTGTCTGGAAAGATGCTGAAGAGCTGATAGCAGGAGGAGGGATGCCTATCGGAGTTATTGGAGTGGCTGGTGAAAGCTTACTGGAGTGGTGTCAGAATGTGATGAAGGCTGAAGGGTTTTTATCTGCAGGGCTGGTCATTATATATGACTAAAAAAGATGCAGCAAGTGGAGCTGCTATGACGAGAGAAAAACGTGGCAGCCTCTCCCAAATTGAAATTGACAGGAACATGTAGGAAATAGACAGGATTGAAAGTGAATTAAAACCATAACCAAAAGAAAAAGAAAACCGCCACCTAAGCCAGTCAAAAACAAACCAACCTATAACAACGCACAGAGAGAAGAAGAAAAAGACCAAGCAAAAATCTAGTGAAAAATGAACTAACCATCTAACAAACAGGGAACAATCCATCCCAAAATAGAGGACAGACTGAGTCTTTGTTAACATGGTAGCTTCCAGATTCAGATGGCTTTTATATTGTTGATATGTTTGGTTAGCTACGAACCACACATTTTAATTATTAATACCTATAAAAACTTATATTTTATTAAAAAATCATTTTAAACTTAATAATTTAAATTGTTAAGTGAGGTTTGAAGATATGATTTGTATTATTTTCTAATACATCCTGAAAGTTTTTTGAACTTCAAACCTGCAAATACTCACACAACCTTGTACTTAATTTTTTTTTATCATTAAAATTTTGATACCATGTCAAAAAATTAATTCAATTTAATAGCTTAAGCTATTGAGTTGAGATAATTTTATGACATGATATTAGAGCCTTGATGACCAAATCTCACCATCCCTATTTATTTGATAAAAAATAAGCATAAGGTAATGTGCATTTGTGCAAGTTTCAAGTCCAAAGGACTTTCACTTAAAGGGGTGTGTTAGAGAATAATATAAATTGTATCTTGGAATCTCATCTGACAACTTAAACTATTGGATTGAAATAATTTTTTGACATGGTATTAGAGACTTGATGACCAAGAGGTTACAAGTTTGAATCTCACCACCCTCATTTATTTGATAAAAATCAAGCACAATGTGATGTGGGCATATATAAGTTTCAAGCTTAAAGAGTTTTCACTTGAGGAGGTGTATACTATTGAGTCAAAATAGTTCCTTAACCGTAGGTTATGCAAAAGTCACTCACGCTTTCTTTTGAGTGTCGTCACTGTTCAGAAAACATGGCTTTATTTTTTTTTCTCACCAAAATAGCCCTATTTGGTCTTCTCCTCTCATCTATCTTTCCCTACTCTCTCCACTATGCTTCCCTCTTTCAATCTCACACAAACTGCACATTGTCCCTTTTGTTTTATTACTGATAGGAGATCTTGACTATCTTTGGAAATATTTAAGTCTATTAACAAATTTATTGCCTTCTCCTCTCATCGATCTTTCCATGCTCTCTCTACTATACTTCCCTTTCTCATTCCAAGCTCACCCAAATCTCACACACTCACCTTGTTTTGTAGTTGATTCCCTATTCGCGCTACTATTCTTCCCTCTCTCATTCCAACCTCACATAGACTGCACCCGGTCACAGTTTTTTTTTGTAGTCGATTAAAGATCCCAACCATTTGCCAATAGATCTACTACTATAACCATACATTTCTTCTTCCTTTTGTATAATTTATCTCGTTCTGTTTTGATTAAGGAACTTATTGACATGACCAAAAGATTGATGTCTTCTTCTAAGTGCAGGATTGTCGAAGTAATAAATAACCCGACAAGACTAGGATCGAACCACAAAGAGGTTAATTGTATAAATTATAAATAACAAGAATACAACAACAACAATAATAGTAATAATAATAGTAATAGTAATAAAAAAAAATAAAAAAAAAATTTGATGAGAACTTTGAGATGAAAGATTAATGTGAGGATTAAACAATGATAATAACAAATGTCAAGGTTAGAGGATCCACTAATGGTATTTTAAACAAGTATAGTATAAACTCTTATTATTCAATTAGAAATCATACACAAAGGAGGTTTCGATTATATTATAAATTATTAACATGATTACATTAGTTATCTTATTCGAATAATGCTAATACTTGTAAATATTGTCAGATATTCATGATTATAACTTATGTTAACAACAAATCAAATTCCTTTCATAGCACAATTATCAGTTATACCTACGTAAAGGAAATGAGACATAAACAAGATACTAATGAAAGCCAAACTTAAGCACTACAAAAATACAAAGAGAGAAAGCAAGAGCATAATCTTGATCAGGAAACCAATATGTCTAAATGTATGACAAATGCCTCTTTTATAGGCCAAAATTTAGAACTATTGATTTGATGACTAATTGTTGAATGGGTGGCCACATCTTGACTTGGTGACAATCCTTATCTTTTTGTCTGAATAAAACGTCATTAATAACGTCAAAATTTGAATCGGACTTCCACATGAAAGTTTTAGAAAAAAAACATTGAGGTCATTTGGACTTCTAAAACTCAAGATATGGGCTGAACACTGAACAATGTCTAAGCTGCAAGACAGATTCATACTTCTACGTTGTTGCTAAGATTTAGACTTCCAAATAGTAGAATTGAATCTTGATTTCCCATGAAAGTTTTAGGCCTGTGTCTTAACTTTCCATCCATATAAAGTAGACTTAAATATGAGATCTACAGCTTCATATATGACCCGATTACTTAACAATGTTCCAGTTTGGACTGCACCAGCATTTCTTTTCTATATTTGGCCCTCTTTTTGTCCTTTTAATTTTAATACTTTAACTCATTAATCAATCCTTTCATTTATGATAGGCCTGCATTTAGGATGAACATTTACCATAAATTAAAAGTACCTTATGGTATCAAAATTGTTATTATAAAACATGCTTTAGTTAATGAGTTATTGATACTTCAAGTGCAACATAATGATATAAAACCTTGATAAAAATATACTTTTAAGTACTAATCACCCCCCAACCAGCTTATTATTAGTTCCTAGTAATCAAAGCATTAAAATAGAAAAATAATTTGTAAATTCCATAAAGTAAGACATTTATTATTCAACTTTTATTAATCTATCTAGATAAACAAACTCTCATTAAATTAATATATATGCTCAATACCTCTTAAACAAGATACTAATAAACCTTTTTTTCATGCTTAATATGTCAACACATAATTATGGGGCTTTACTTGAAAGAAAATAATTTTTTTGTTCTATTGTTTAAAGTTAACTTCCTTGGGTTGAGATTATCTTTTTCTTTTTTTTTTCTTTTTTTATTAATATACATATAAATTAAAAATACAATGCATCTTTAACCCATATAATGAGCTTTCGGCTAATGAATCCTATACTAGTTGGTCTTATGTCATTAGGTGTTGAGACACCCCTATGAGCTTAGTAACTCGGGTTATAGATACTAATATGTAGATAGTGCAATGTTTGATTTCTTTAAGCTTTTCTCCTTAACCTATGTAACAAGCGTTGGACCAATAGCTTTCAAGTCAGTTGATTTTAGGGTATTAGGTGTTAAAATACCCCTTTAGATTTAATTGCTTAGGTTAGGGAGGTTATGAAACCAAACTTATCTACATTTTTATTATCTATATTTTTTTTTATATTTATATTATCTATTTCCCTTAGTTGTTACCTTTAATAAAATAACATAAATAATGTAATAATACAATGTCCAACCTATAATCATATGTTAAAGTGTGTGTAAAAATGAAGGTTTAAGAATATATATTAAATGAGTATATGAGTAGAATTAAGTGATAACAACGTGAGAGTTTGTAAACTTGAATATTTCAAGAAGTATTATGATAGACCTTGTTAAGAATGTTTACTAAGAAGCGTTTCAAGAGTCACTTTAACAAAAGAACTCATTTACTCTGTCATCCTAATAATAACAGTTTTACAAATAGTTTATAAAATAGAAAAAATAGTTAGTTAATTTTTTTTAATAATATGAATTACTACCCTTTCCCCCAACCAAAATGAGATATTGTCCTCAATTTTCTAAAGGTATAAAGATAGAGTATAAAAGATATCACCTGAAACACCAAACACTAACAAACCTGAAACACACTTAAACAAATATAAGAAATAACAAAACACAATGATTTATTATTAAGAAAACCAAAAGACATAAGGATTCATAAACAAATGCTCAAATTGAATTTAAGCTTTTTACAACTTTTCTTAGTTGATCAATCTATACGACTCATGAAAGGATCAATTATAGGAGTGAAAGATTGTAGTTGATTAATCAATTGTTCAGTAGTAACAGCAGAGATTATGATATATCATGCCGAAGATGTTAGAAATTCCTGTTCTATAGTATGATCAAGAAAAGACAATAATTTATCATAAAAACCATTAACATTTAACAAACCTATGGGTTTATGGAGAATATGCAGTTGGATCTAAGAGAAAATATGAAAGATCTTTTCTAATGTGCCTAAACTACTTGGTAAGGCAATGAAGGCATCAACGTGTTTAAATATAACATTCATTCGATCAAATATTATGAAGACCTATAGTTCCTCTTAAATTTTTTTTCTAATGATCTCCCCTTGTGCTAAAGCTTTGGAGATAACCCTCAAAACTTAATTATCTCCTAAAAATGTAGCTATTAACATTCCCCCCATTAACCAAAGGCTGCCTCCCTCATACACTAAATGAATTTTTCTCTCAACTAGTATCTGACGAAGATGATTTGCTGATTCTAAAAGCTTTATTTCCTTCCTAGGACTAGATCCACCGAAAACACAAACGTTTCTTATATGATGACTTGAGGAATCTGCCATTTCTCCACACTTCTATATCTGTTGAATGTATGAGTTGAGTAGAAATGAAGAAAAAAAAGAGAGGATTTTATAGATGAGAACTTGAAATTGCAATCATACAACTTATATGTAGGCGAGCTGGAGTCTCACTCTTTCTTTTTATTTTATTTAATTTATTTATTTAGTAATATTATTAATTTTTTTTTAAAATATATATGTACAAGTAGTTGTGATTGTGGCTCATACCTTCCCTTAGTTTTATGTCCAAGAACGGCTTAAACGCTCTCTATAGGTTGGGGATAGGCTTCCCATCTAGTTTT